CTAGTGCAATCCTTATTACCATTCTCACACAGCTTCTTCTGACTCACACAAGCAAGAACCAACACATCTCATGAATTTTCAGCACATCCACAACATCTGCCTTACATACCTGCCAACACTGTTTAATGACAGCTAATAATCATTTTACTTAAGGAAATTCAAAGTCACATCAGACGTGTCCCCACACAGAACGCTCCCCTGACACAATACAGCTACACAGGTATGTCTCATCCCCACAAAACACACACTCTTTAATTACATCTCCCGGTGTCGATCCAACAGCCTTGCTCCCACAGACACCTCAAATTTCATTCCCATCTTTGCCTGTACCTACCTGCAGCTGTGTGCTTCCTGCAGCTTTGCTCCAACTCCTGAATCATGACATGGCCCTCTTTTTTCCCCTTTGGGAGCAGGAAAAGAGGCACCATACTACTGCCTTATTAACTCCCAGCACTACAAGAGAATGTCTCATATGATGTCCAGACCTGCAGGAAGAAGAAGGAGTATTTCCCATCCCCTCCCTAGCTCCAGGCTTTTGTAGGATAGGGATCATCATCACAGAATCATCATCATCTCCACATGCTGCCCCTGATTGCAGCAATTTGGGTTTTTGCTGTGCCTCCCACCTGTACCAGAACAGTTCATCAGATGTGATTTCTTGCAGCAGAGATGCTTTGTGTTGGGAAATTTGAGATACCTGGCAGTCAGTGGGAAGCCCACTAGTAAATTGTCTGCATGCTCAAAGTAGTTGCACTTACACTGTGGTCATCAGTGTCTCATCTCCTTCTGGTTTGCACCCTGGCTTCAAGCAGGCTCCCTCTTCTGATATTTCTGGGAAGATGCCATCAGAAGTTTGCTCACAGCCGGGTCCTCCACATGAAACCTGCCAAGCTCCATGTCTGACTAAATCTCTTGCAGGAGTGCCCAGGATAGGCATTCTTGCAAAAACAGGAGAGAAAAACTTGTCTCATGCAGCTTAAGATATTCCATAATGCAGTCCCTGCTGCACTCAGATAACACAGAGGAGACTGTTCAGGACAGGTCATGGTCTTGCCCTCATGCCTTTCTCCAGCCTGGATGAGTGACTCAGATGATACTAAACCGAGGGAACCCTTTCCAGAGTTTTCGCTCTGAGGGAAAAACCCCCAAACTATTCCTGTCACACTATTTTGGTGTGCTCTGTGAGGCCAGGAACCAGCAGGCGATGCTCTTGGGAAGGCCGTGGCTGCCCTAGTACCAGCACACACCGGAGTGGGGACTTTATCCTGAATGACCAGAGAGGAGAGAAAGGGCAAAACCCGCTCCTTTGCTGCGCCATTTATAGTGTTGTTCTACCAAAAACGCTTCCACTTCATGTTCAATGGGTTAAAGTGTTGAAAACAAAAAGCATTCTATATTTACTAGTGTAATCTAAAAATACCCCAATTCTGCTGGCAGCCAAAGCAAGCACAGGCCTCCAGGGGCTCTCTTTCTAACCTATTACCACACTAGTGCCCCAGCTGGCTGATGCTGCCCCAAGTGAAAGAGCAAGATCGGAGTCACATCTCACAGCCTTACTGCACAGAGTGCTTTCACCCTCTGCCTCCCAACTGCTCCAGAAGAGCAATCCTCAGCTCCCACCCATCCCTCTGCCCAGCCCCTGGTACTTGCTGGCTCCAGGTGCCACAGGGGCTGTATGGCTTAGCCAGATGATTGCAGTGGGCCCCAGTGGCCCACGGGGCTGAATGAACAGACTTGTTAAGTAACATAGGACATCTTCTCTTCGCCGCCTCCCCTCTGTCCCCAAAGAGGCTGTATTAATTAATGATTTAGAATAATCCCAGATTTTACTGCAGCTTTGGTGCTTTTCATTGGGAAGATAGAAGTGCTTACTATATTTTACTTATGTTATAGTGGCATAACTGTGTGGGCTTTTAGTTGACATCCGCTTGTGAAGTTAGCAGTTTGTTTGCTGGTTACACTCACAGCCTGAGACCTTTTTGGACAGCTGATTTACTTGGCCAACACCACCCCAACTGCAGCTGGCATACCAAGTTTATGATTTCTGGGCTGTAGGTATTCAAGTGTCTGAATGTTTGGTCAGGAAGGGAAATGGTTCAGTGCCCCAGCTCTGATGCAGCCAGGAGGTATCAGCAGATCCAGCTTGCTTGCCTTCCTTCTCCTCCTGCTCCTCTCCACCTCTTTGCTTCCAGATGCAAATACTTCCATATTTGGCAATGTGTAACTATGATGGCTTCTTAAGGGGAAAACATCTACCTTGGCAAGTGCATTTAAGACGCTTACTTCTGCTTCACATTTTCAAGCATATGTGGACCAGAGGAAAAATACTTCCATCTTATGCCTGCTGGCATGGCTCAAGACTTGAATTCAAAAATGCCAGCAAGTTCCCAAAGGTTGGCTAATCATAATTAATAACAAAAATGCATTGGCAGTGGAAAAATGAATTGGCTCCCATGAGTAGGAAAGTGGCCTGAAGAGGCAATCAGAAGCCAAGGTTCATGAGATTTTAATCCTAGTTCCTGTATCAATTCCCAGTCCAGAGGGGGACACTTAACTGCTTTGTTTGCTTTATTCCTTTCTGAATAGGACTACACATTAGCTTAGTCATTGTGGTGTTTAGGGGATTAATTAGCTAATTCAGCACCTTCCTCTAATGACGTCAAAATCTTAAAAGCTTCACTGGAAGGATTTGAAGCTGTAGTTGAAGACTTACTGCTCATTTATGACCTTTCTTTGTAACACATCTTGGAAGAGTTAAAGGTAAGGCAAGAGGGGAAGATTTTAATTTAAAAAAGAGACAGGCATTTCCATTTGGCAAGATTTTTCATCTTGATGAGAAAACAAAAACACCCAGTCTCTGATCTTGCCTCAATCCATATTTAATCTCAGAGAGTGCAGTGGTGTAATTTTGAAGACAACAGTTTCAGGAAGCATGGGGGAGATATTCCATGCTTCCTTCTGCTTTAAAAAAAAACTATGAAGGAAAAAAAAGGGGTGGGTGAAGCAGGGCAGAGATGTCACATAATCCCACAAGGAGGACATAAAAGACATGGAAAACAAAGCCACAGAGCAAAAGACAGGTTTCTTTTAAAAAGCAACGGGGACAATTACACAACATCCCTTGGGATTAAAATGACTTCCCCTTTTTCTCTCTGCAGACCCTTTAGTCTTGGTTGATAAGGGGATGAAACCCTGCCTGTGAAAGCCAAGCAGAGGACAAATTCCAGGGGTCATTTCTCAAGCAGAAGATGGTGCCCTGGTCCCCTCCAGTGATGCTCTGCCTTAGGGCTGCCTCCCACCATCCCAGCAGTGCTCACCCATTCCCCTGCACTGTAGTGCTGCTCCATGCCTGCTCCATGCCCAACTTCAGTGTGCAGCAAAGGGAGCAGGTGGGAATACAAAATCGGATAGAGGCAGCGGCAGGAATACGAGCAGGGTTTTAGGAGCTGGTGGAGTGTTAGGAAGATGCTGGAATTGAAGCTTGCAGAGGATGGCAAGACTAAAAATAGGCTGTAGCCAGCCTTTCCCAGTGAGTTTTGGCACCTCAACTGCCTGTTTTGCTTGTGACCCACTGAAGAAGTGGCAACAATGAAAGAGATTATGTTTTCCACCACCCTGGCAGTGCAGGACAAAATGGCATTTTGCTTCTAACCGGATCGTTCCGCTCTCTTGATCTGATGGGTTTTTCTGGAAGGGTATAAACTGAGTGTTTCCTCCCCGTCTTCAGTCAAACCAAGGGGCTCCCACCTTCCCCTCAGTTCAACAAAGCACTCATGTGCATTGAAGATGTGCTCATTCTCACAGGCTGTTTGCAGGCTTCCATCCTTTGAGAGGAAAACGGGAAGTTTTTGTAGAAACCATCATTTTAATTCAACAAAATTGATTAAAGAAAACATCCCACAGAACTATGTTATCCAGTACAATCAACATTGCACCTTTGTTCCTACCTTAGCAATGCTGTATTTATATTAGAAAAAACCCAAAGACAATTCATGATGCTAAGAGGTGTTGAAATGCATACATAGATAAGATGCCCGAATGTCGTGGCCAACAGCTTGGTCAAAAGCTGTTTCTTCTGCTTTTTGCCTGTGCTGTGTATTTCAGCAGGTTGGTTGTGGGACAGACAAGGCTTCCCCGAGCTGTGGGTTTCAGCCAGCCATGAGCCCAGGACATCAGCTGTGACTAAGTGATCCTGCTTGTCCAACCGGGTAAATTTAGGAAGAATCTTTGTGAAAGGCTGCTGTGGTGTAATTTTTTTCTCCCAGCTTTAACTTTCATACATCAAGATGATCCTCCATTTGAAACATTTTAGGAAGTCTGAAGGGTGGCTGCAAGATTTGTAAGCTGGTGTCAAGCAGAGCCAAGGGCTGCATTACCAGGTTTCCTGGCTCCAGCACTTTAAGTTTAGCTACTTCTGCTTTGTTCAAACATGACCTCAGGTTACAACTTGTGACTGGGGAAAGCATTGTGGTGCAAAGATGCAGTGCCACATTAGCACCTCTTCTTTGTGTGTGTGTGCTCATTCTAGAGCACTGTTTGGAAATAGTAACAGACTGCCAGACCTGTACAGCTTTCTAGAGCCAGTCCTGCTCTAACTCGGGATGCAGTTTTCCCTTTTAGACCTACTGTATATTAAGTGTTTCTCCCCAAGAGAGAGCCACCAAGCAGAAAAAAGGTAGACTGGTATCTCCACAGACACACAGCATTCCCTTGTAAACTGCCTATAGTGCATAAACAGTTACTGCTGGGTGTGGGGGAAAAGGAGCCAAAACCCAAGGAGTGCTTTTTCCATCCCGGTCTCCAAATATATGTGTCGGAGTAATTCAGTGGGAGACAGCAGCATGTTCAAGTAAGAATGTGCCTCCATTTGTCCTCCCAGGTTTTCAGCACTGCAATGGGAGCACAAGAAGTGGGACACTATGAGAAGTGGGTCTGAGGGGAGGGATCTGGCACGAAGCCGTGGCTCTCACTGGGTGTTGCGTTGCTGCTCTCTCCCTAGGAACGTTTGTATCCGCTTTCACCGTGCTGTGCGGAGCCCGGACTGACCTCCCTGACAGGCACATGTGTTGTGTCTTCTGGCTGAACATTGCTGCTGCTCTGATTCAGATCCTGACAGCGATCGTGATGGTTGGCTGGATTATGAGTATATTTTGGGGGATGGACATGGTCATTCTTGCAAGTAAGTACAGCACACTCACCACCCTGACTTCTCTCCATGGCCGTGTTACCGAGTCCCACCTAATGTCCCTCCAAGCCACTGGACTGTACTGTAGGGAAGAAGAGCCATGTGATGGGCTCTGCAAGTCCATGAGAAACCCAGTAGGCAGAGAAATGGCTAAGAGTGTTTGAATGGGCCCTGTGACATATTTGGTAGAGCCTCCCATCCCACCACATGGGTTACAAACTTTCTTTTCCCTTTATGAAATGAAACGTGCAGGAAGGGGGAGTCCCCCCTGCACTGTGAACTCTGCTGTCTGAAGCCCCTTCTGCCCTGGTTGCATCCGCTTGAACGAGAAAGACCTTCCTCCCTTGTGACTCCGGCTGCATCTCTGCTGTTAGAGAGACCTTTCTGAGAGGCTGGTTCTGCTCTCAGGGCCAGCTGTCCCCAGAAAAGCCCTGGGGACTCTCCTGGACCCTCCCTTTCGTCCCCAGAATACATTTACCCAAGGCATTTTTTTTTTTATGTTTCACACCAAGTCCTTAGGCTGAGCAGAAGTAAGCTGCTCCTAGCTGCTGGGTGTACTTTCCATACACCCCTTGAGAAGCCTCTAAAACATTAGCCTAGGTGAAGAGGAATCTTTTTTTTAAATTTACATAATTTAGATCACCCAGTTAGTATAAATCACCAACCCAGAATACTGCCAACTTTTATCCGCCAAAGGCTTTTGCTGGTGTAAAAGTTGTATCATATCTCCAGTTTCGTATTGCAGAGAATTGAGATGACACTCTCATCTCACCTCCAAAGCCAGAAACAACACACAGTTCAGGCTGCTGATGGCATCTCCAAGACCCTGCTCCCTTTACAGGGGCTGGCAGAGGCTGATGGGCATTGCCCCAAACCACCCAGGTCTCAGATCTTTCAAGCTGACAGGACAGGCAGTTCCCCAAGCAAGCCCTTCTCCCATCTTACCAGCACCTATTGCCTTTTGGTTTGGACGGGCTCCACTTTGTCATCTCTGCTGATGACATCTGTGGCTGCGTGACAGAGGAGGAGAGAGGATCTCGGGAAGTTGCCAGGAACCTGCCTAAAGTTGAAATGGATGAAACTGAAAAAAAAAAAGGCAGAAGACCCGTACACATTTTCAGCTGCCAAACCCAGGGGTTAAACCCTCTCACCAAACCACCTTTTAATTTCTGAGCCAGCTTCAATTTGCAGGCTGAGTTAAGGGCAATCCCCACACAGAGCAAACAATGGATATTAAAAACCTGAACATATGCAAGGCAAAAGGCAAGGGTGAAGGCAGCACTGCCCTTTGGTTTTCCCTGCAAACCACCTGCCACATTTCCTTCCAGATGAACCTGCAGAGCAGGGGTAGCCCAGGTTATTTCTGAGGATAAACTGTGAATGGGTGTACATCTGTGATGTGTCTTTAATAATCTGCCCAATTTGTGTGTAATCCCATAATTGTGTTCATAGTCATATGCTCTTCTGCTCTTCCTCTGCTGGACAGCCTCCGTGTGCAGTTTGCTGTCTGGCAGGACCCCATTCTGCAGTTGTGGGGAGTCAGGAAAGCATCTGTCCTGATAAAGAGCTACATCTGAAATCATGACTTGCTTTTCTGCATAGTCCTGTTCTCCAGGTAGAGGGGTTTTAGCTTAGGAGGCTTGTATTGGTTTTCCAGTTTGATTGTTGGGGAAAACCATACAGATTGGAAGCTATTTCTCACATCTGGCTGGACCCCACTAGTCTGAAAGGCAGAGTGTGAGTGAGCAGCATGTAGTGGGAATGCTCAGGTCAAGAGGTTCCCAACCACGGCACAATATTTCACCCCTCTGGTGGTAGTAGAGAATGGTGAGAGGAGACAACACGTCTTATGTTCACCAGCATCATCTGACAAGTTGCAGCCCTGGGCAGTTTCTTGCTGTCTCATTAAATAGCTGGTTTTAAGTTTACTTGCCATGCAGAGAAAATAATGGCTAAATAAAGCAGCTCTAGGTTGATGGAGAATAAAAAAAAAAATCAATTTTAATTGAAACAAAGAACAGAAGTGATCAGTTGCTGCTGGCTGGATCAAACAGCCCTGTCAGACCAAGAGGGGTTCTTATTTTCATGTTAAAAAAAAAAAAGGTACTAACTTAAAAAGGAAGCCATGTTTGAAATGCAAGAAATAAGGTATTTCATCTAAGAACACTACCAGGAAACAGTTTGCTTTGGCTGGGTTTTGCTTGTGCACAAGCAATTTGATGCAGTGGACAGAAATCGTACACCATTGCAACTTGAATCTGCAGATGGAAAATAGTTAAAAATATACAAAACTACTGGCCACCTCTAGTCTCCCTTGCCTTGCAATGGTCTATTCCATGCATCCCTGTGAGGGTGCCATACTATTTGGATGGGCTAGAGGCTGGACACAGCAGGTGGTGTCTAAGCTGGAGGGGGCTAGCAGTGAGGAGAAGGGTGGGAAACAGCTAAGGCTTAGGGACTCCACTCAGGCTCTCCCTAAGGGATGAGTGCCTCACTCCCTGGATTTGGGCCTGCCTGTCTGTTAGCTGGTAGATAGTTGGGAGAGAATTAGAATCATAGATCACTAAGGTTGGAAAAGACCTCCAAGATCACAGTCCAACTGTTAACCCATCACCACCGTGTTCGCTACTAAACCATGTCCCCGAGTGCCACATCCACATGCCTTTTGAACAGGAGGCTCGTTGCAGCTTTTCATCTTCTAGTGCTAATTCTCAGCCATGGAAAGGGGGAGCCTGCTCTGAGGATAATGTCATACTGTCTGTAATGAGGGGAAAAGGAGAAGAATTATAGGCCAACCAGGTATACTTCAATTCCTGGAAGAAGTAATCAAGTAAGTGACTTGCATGCATTTAGAAAATATAAAACATCCCCACAAAGTCAACCTGGGCTTGTCCAGAGCAAGCTGTGTCAGACTGATTCCTTTTTGTGGCAGAGAGATTCATTTTGTCTGTGGTGGCAGCAGTCAGCCATCCCTTCTAACCTTCAGGTGCTGACGCCATCTCACACAGCACTCCTACCAGCAAGCCAGGGAGACATGGCCTGAGTGAAAATGCACTTGAGAACTCGACTCTAAATGGATTTTCCTGAACTAGAAAGATATAAAGAGAGATGTGTTGAAAGATCCCTCCTGAATCCAGCTCTGCTCATTATTTTAACTTGTGGCTTGATGATGGACCAGAGAAGGGGGTCACCAGCCCCACACCAGCAGTGGCTGGGGGGACAGCTGGCACAGCGCAGGCAGTGTCCAGATTTAAGTACTTTGAAGAAATGGCTGGAAAACAGTAAGTGCTACTCAGTAGAGACAAGCCCAAGACTCTACAGAAGAATTAACTGACTCCATAAATACAGGGAACTACTTGTTTTTCAGCAAAGGATGTGGTGGCTGCAGGGAGTCACAAGTGGCACAGGAGTACGTTGCTGTGGAGGGAACAAACACTGCCCAGGCAGGTAGGAGCAGAGCCTGTAGGGAATTAACTGATCCCCTCACCTTTCTCTGCACACATGAAGCTGCTGTGAGGCTTGTGGCCAGCTTTGGAGTCTGTACTTCATATGGAAAACCTTAAGAGAGTCCAGAGGACCGTAAGACAGCAGGCATGTTGATGATGAAGATGTTCAGCAGGCTAGTAAATGTGAGGGCAGCATTCAGCCTAAGACAGACTTAAATAACAGCAGGGAAGATCTGTGTGGAAATTAGGAGACATTTTCCCTCCAGTAAGGTCAAAATGCTGCAGAGGTGGGATGGCAGGATCTGCCCTCTCTGTTCCTAGGAGACTGCAAGAATGAGTAGATTGACTTCTGTCAGGAGCAAGGTGGGACACGGGAAGAGAACAACTGACCTCAGAGGGTCCCATCCAGCCCTCATCTCATGTATGGTGCCCTTTAGCAGAATAATATCCCAGAAGGAAGATTAGTTGAATGCAGTTTTGCTGTCACACTTAATTACTTTTGGCAGCACCATGGCATGGGGCATTTTCTCTGCTAATTTAAATGAATTGCCAGCTGTCCCCATTTGACGCCACAGATATCTTCTTTGAGCAGCCATATGGCTTTGGGAACTGTCCTTCGCTGTACCGCTGTCTGAAGGCAAAGGTAGGTTAAAAGGAAGAACTTAATTATTGTGCAAAAAAAAATAAAATATCTGGACTCTCCCCTGGCTGCTGCAGATATCCAGCTGTCCTCAGTGATGGCTGGGCAGCGCTGCCACACTGTGCTATCTGCAAACCCCTCATCATGTCTCCAGGGATGAGGCATGGAGCTGAGGCAAAACAGAGCTAATTAGCTGCCAAGGCCAGTTGGAAAACAAACCTCCCAAGGCTTTCTGGGCAAAGTTCCTTCTGCTGTAGGCACACCTTGTCCCCAGCCCACGCAGCACACATATTCATTGGCCACATTGTGCAGAATGACCACAGTGGAATGGCCTTTCCAGGAACTCCCTAGCTGCTCAGAGCCCATTATAACAGGTTGTGTACCATTTCTTGACAGAAATGCCAGAGAAATAATATAGTAATGTCACACTGAGGTGGTACAGGGGACACAAGTCAGGGACTGTTTGTCCAGGCATTGTTTTGCCTCTAGTGAACACAGCCAAGAAGTCAGGCCTGCCTTCTGAAGGAAGCCCTCAAAAGCTCAGCTTTTGGCCTCTGAATGAACAACTGCCTCTGAATGCTTGGCTGCACCATCGCTCATGGCTTCACTTCAGCTGACTCCCAGGGGCTGATTGCCAGCCAGTAGTGAGAACTTACCTGTAATCATGCTGTCCACTTGTCACTCCTTTGCTAATTACAGTGCTCAGACCCTGCTAGGAGCAGCAGCAGATGATTGCACAGTTACTGTAGTCCTGGGCTCTGAGGGACTTTGGAAAGCATCACTGAGTCCCTCTGTTCTTCAGGGCCCCTGCTAGGGCAGGTAACACGGCTGCCCTGGGAAGGAAAGGGGAACAGAAGGCACTTAAGAGACTCAGAGGATAACAGCTGGAAGAGAGAAGGAAATGATGAAAGAAAATCCGAGGAAAAATTGCTAGCTTAGACCTATTATGTTTTTCGTAAAAAATCTAAATAAAGCTGTCCCCCAAACTATGGCTGAGGAAAATAAATACCCTTTTTTGCTGTTTCCTACCAAATGCTGTGGTGGGGCAAGTTCTTAAAATATTGTAGGAATGTTAAATACCACCAGGGTTTGCAGCACCCAGACATGCTGAGGCACGCTGTGGTTGTGAGTTACCTGCAGGCACAAGCAAACTCATCAACAAAACTGCCAAAGGCTTTGGGTGTAGTTTTCCAAGCTCTCAGACTGTGAACAGCACACCATGTGCCCTCTGGTACACCGTAATGTCTTGTTTGCTGCCATCCTTCAGTCAGACCCATGAAATACCAGTGTCACCGAGGAAAGTGTGTGAGCATTGCTCAGAGGTGTTACTCCAGCCAGCCTGTCCAGCTCAGAGCCAGTGAACTGGAAAGCAGATGAAAATTTTCCCATCGTCTTTAAACAGGAGTCCTAAATGAAATGATCCACTTCAAGTACAAAGATTTTAAATAATGTTTAGCCCTGGTGTGAATGTCTGATGGTAGAGCAGCTGTTCTCTGTTTATTCTGCAGCCCCAACTTGTTCATTCTTTTCTGGTTCTCCATGTGTTTCAGATATATCATCTACAGTTACATTTCTCCCTCTCTCTTTCTTTCATGTTCCTTTGCCTCCTTTTGTTCACCATCAAAGTCTCACAAGGTAAGTTTGTTTCTGTTCTTCCTCTTCCTCCTCCTCGCACCCTGTGGCAGCTCCCCATGGAGAGCAGCGAACATCAGCCAGGGCAAGCCATCAGGAATTCCCTTTGGCCAGTGCTGCCTGCTCCCAGCCCAAGTCCAGCCTTGTGCCTCTACGTGTGTGTATCCGCCTGTCTCTGTGTCTGTCCTGTGGCTGCAGAGCCCCAGGGATGTTGAAAATCTTCGCACACCATTGAAATGTCCCTCAGGCTGCCCCAAGGGCACCCTTGGAGCACAGCAGGAACCCGGTTCAGCCTTGAGAGCATCCTGAAGCCACCCTCTGCATGAACCCAGTCCTGGTCGGACAGGCTGTGCACAGACTGGGTTCTTTTTGCCTCAGTCTTACATGCAGTGGTTTACAGAAGAAGTGCAATTTCAAGTAAACTTGATTAAATCAGTGACTTTGTGCACAGACCAAGTTAATCATGACCCCAGAGCTGTCTGCCCTACAGACCTGCACCTCAGCTGGATTGCAGGTGTACTAATGTGAAGCTGCTTCGTACAGAATAGCTGCTTCTATGCAAGAAATGCAATAACTATTTTGATATATAAACTATTTAATAAGTTAAGTCTGAAGTATCGTAATAAATAGGTTTAGTATAGGACAGGTAATTTTTTGGCTTACTTTGGTCACATAAAGAGAGACACAAGCTTGGCCACTATAACTGTCTTCCAGCCAGTTTCAAAACTGATAGCAGGACTGAAAGGATTTCTTAATCCTAATTTTCTTATGTCTCAATAAAAGGCATGGCTGTGTAAGCAAGTTACTGTAACCATAACTCAGCTGCTTACTTGAGATAAAGATTTATGGCAGACCCCAACTTTCTGGTCCATGGGGTTGTTTTGGGTTTTTTTTTAACTATGCTCCCTAAACAAATTAAACCCATGCTGTAGACAAGCCTATATTACAGGTTTCCAGCCAGCTCATCTTGCCTTCAGAGCTGACACACTTAGAACATAAATGCATGAGAAATCTCATTTTGCCCCCTAGAAAAAGCTCTTTGAAAGAGATGAGAGTCTTTCTGTTCAGCTGCACACAATGGGCAGCGATGCAGTTAAGTGTCATTAATCTGCCCCTTGTGCCTGTTTAACAGCAGGAGATCCAGACTGCCAAGGCTGGGTGAATGTGTGGATTTTTTTTCTAAAGTACAGCAAAGTTCATATGCTGGAGTCAGTTCTTAGTTCAGCAAAAAGTCCTTAAAGATATGGGTTCTGGCACCTGCTGGTATTTTGTGTTCAGTTTTTTTAAGGGACTTAAAACAGTCTAACATAAGGGTTGGAAAGAAATATTAAAAAAGCATCAATGGAAAAGTGTTTGAAGAGTTAAGCATTCTTCTGAGATGTGAAATTTCAGACTTCTTTGAAATTCAAAATATAAAAATGACAGGCTACTTACGTTATTTAATGTAAGAAAAAAAGCCTCTCCAGATCTTTAAAGTTGAAAGATCTTTTCTGTGGCAGGCAGTGCAAGTAAGGACAGTTGGTTTGCTTCTTTAATAAGGAGATCGTTTGCATTGATACTATCATAAAAACAGTCCCAGCTTCTCTTAAAAGAAAAGCAGGTAAAGCTTCTGGTGCAGTCACTGCAACCATCTAAGAAAGTGTTAAAAAATTCAGTATTTTTCTGATTATCCTCCATCAGCACAAGAGCTTGTGTGCTCTCCTATTGCCCTTCCCTGCCCTAGCTCCCTCCAGGGAGAAGAAGCTGTGTCCTATGGGATTTGCAGCCTCCCCTCAGCAACTATATGCAGGATAGTAAATAAGCTTGGGAGGAGCTGCGGTGGGCAGCAGGACAAGCTGCTTTGGGCTTTGCAACATCCATGTGGCTGCAACACAGCAGGGATCCCAAGGGCTTCGCTACCTTGGTTGGGAGGTGCAGCAAACCTCATGGCCGCAGGAAGAGGAGAGGCTGTGGAGGAACAGGGATCCAGGCAGTTCCCAGTGCAATTGGTTTTGCCGCTGAAAAGCTCAGTTTTCTCCAGGCCTGCTGGACAGCCACTGTGCCCTAACAAAAACACCTGTAATGCTGCTGGGCTGGAGAAAAGCAAGTGCATAACAAGGCAGTGAGAATATCATTAGGGGAAGTGCTCACAGAGGGGTCTTGAGGTCTGTGTTTGAAATTTGACATGTCAGCCTTGACATGTCAAGGCTTCTTCTCCAAGAGGTGTTTGTTCACCTTTGCAAACTGCAGTGCAATTGGTTGCTGCTGGAGAGCTCTGTTAGCAAAAGCCAGCACAGGAACAAAAAGATGGACAGAGGAAGCCAGCCTCCTGCTCTGGAAGGACAAGGTTCAAGCACAGATCACAAGTAGAGATGTGTCGGATGCACAGCCAGCAAAGTGCCAGGTCAGCACTTGGGAAAAGAGCATCTCTGGAGCAGGATATAAGGGCATTCATTTCCCCTACACTGCAAAAAAAACATGCTCTGTAGAAGTTTTAGGTTATTGTATAAGTTGTACTGGAATTGGTGACTACTGGTACCTGCTGTGCTTTTATAATCTCCTCAGGCAGATGTGCCCCTGCCACTGCTGGGGCCAGGTGGGTGCTGCAGCAGCAGGGCTGGCTGCCAGCATCCACATGGCCATGCCTAGGAAGGTGGCTGCACCAGGCAGGTGTTGGCTAGAGCAGGGCAGGGTGGCTTGCTGGGCTGAGGCTGCCCAGGGCAGCCTGGCCACAAGGGGGGCTGTGGTAGCCCCCCTATTTTTCCACATGGTTTGCTACTCCTGGTAAACTAGGCTGGTGGCTTTCTCACCGAGTGTCCTCATTAGGAATTAACTCTAATCATGTTCCCTTCCCCTCCCTCCTCACAGGCTACAAGGAACAGGGGATCCCACAGCAGCTGTAGTGGCTGGCACAAGTATGGTCAGAGAAACACGGCGAGAGATTTCCTTTGGCAGCTGTGGGCCATGGAACTTTTTATTACCCTTTGTCTCTCTTCTTCTTCCTTTTGTTTTGTTTCCTTCTGTTTGAACCTGGTTCATCTGCCCGTCCAGCGGAGCGGAGATGCAGAGCAGCCGGTGGAGACTTGCACTGATCCCACTGAGCAGCGGAGATGAGGCAAGCACAGCTTGGGTTGGGACTGGTCCTGGCCAGCACGTGGTGGGCAGCAGACGAGGAGGAGGAGGAGGAGGAGGACGGTGCCAGGAAAAGGAAACACCCTTGGTGAAGGATGCACCTGGGCAGGCAGCTGAACCGAGGCAGTGGGAGATGCTGCTTTCCCTCTCCTCCCAGGGGGAGGTCACTGAAGACGTTTTGCCTCCTTTCTATGCTCACTGTTAAAGGAAACTGGCTGTGAACATCAGCTGCCAAGGAGCTGTTCATAGATACATGTACAGTGTGTAAAAGCCAACCAGTGGTACTTTTTTCCCGCCCCAAGATTCCATCTTTGACTGCTTTGCAGTAGTGGAGGGTTCAGCACAGCCTCCTCTGCTGTCTGTATATACGATACTCAATGAAGTTCTGTCCTCACAGATGTCTTGAGAAACGTGCTTGCTGTAAATCGTATTGTACTGCTGAAGTGATCTGGGGGCGTCCCCTACTTCCATCTGCTGCCAACATGCAAAGACCAGACCTCCCACCAGCCCTGGGGAGACTTTATCCAGCAAGGGACCGGTGCCCCGCAGCTCCTCTAGGGTGGCGGGTGCAGCCACGTGCTGCCAAAAGCTTCTAGTGTGAAACAATACTGGGGGAGCCAAAACCCGAGGCTTTTCCTCCCTCTGAAAGAGACTTGCTGGCAGTGTCTCCATGATTTGGAAATGGATCTCCTTACAGCGTGACGTGTGCTCCTGGCTCAAGCAGTGTCCCAGCTCCGCTTCCCTGGGGTAAGTGCCCAAAGCTCGAGTATCACGACCTGCTAACCAGGTGCTCAGCAGCTGTTGTGGTTGGAAGGCCCATGGCCAAATGGGGTAGGGCAGTGTTTTCCTGGTTGGAACACGTGGTGTGCAGTGACATTGGTCATCCAGGTGGAGTGACCCCTCTGATCCTGGCTGGTATTTAAGCAGGGCGAGAGGAGCTCAGCTTGGTGGGAGTACCTGGCTGCTTTTCTGCTTTGGCAGGAGGATCCCTGCTGAAACAGGGCAAAACCAGGCCTCTGCTCGCACCTAGGTAGGGTCCTTCCATCCAGAGGAGCTTCATACAAACCCACTGCCAAAACTGGGAGCCACCTGAGCCTGGCAGAACTGAGACCCACTTCCAGCCCACTGCTCCTGCCAAGAGACAGTGGGCAAGGGGGTGACAGCAAACCCCATTGCTGTTAAACAAGCTCCTGGCCTCTCCTGGTATGATGGTTTGCTTTTAACACAGGTCTTGGTTTTTCACGCAGAGCAGATCCCGTGACCTAAAACAGCTCCTGTTGCAAAGAGAGCTTGGGGTGTCAAACAGCAGCAAGTGCCCCTGAGCATGGGTGTCCTCTTGCTAGGCAGAAAGCGCTGTTCTCCCCACGCTGTGTGTTTAATCCTCAGAGGCATGGCAGGGGTGCACTGGGCAGGACAGCTGCCCACCAAGGCTGGAGGAGAGCCCTGCAATGGGCAGGGCACATGTTGGTGATGCCCCCAAGGAGCTGGTGGCATAAGAAGCTCCTTTGGTGTTTTAGTGTAAACCTATGGCTTAGCCTCCCTACAGCCCCAGGTGCTCTCCTGAAGGATGGAGATGCAAGACCTTTCTTCCCAGAAAGTTTTCTACCTGCCCAGTGCCCACACTTCACTGTGACCCCACAGCCTGTGGAAAGCAGGCAGCAGTACCTCTCTGCTCTCCCAGCTCAGGAGGTCCTCCTCCAGGGTTAATGATAAAGCATCATCCATAGTCCCAACTAACGTGTAGCAGGACAGGACCCCTAAGCTGGAAAACACCTTCACAAGCTGCTGCTGTCATCAGTGGGAACACTTGAGAAGCCACCCAAACAGCTTGCCAGCTCAGCTGCAGCGAACATAAGGACAAAGAGCAATGGTTACCCCTCAATTTTACCAAAACAGAATGGCTGGTTCAAGAGCAAATGCCAAATGTTGCCTAAGCATCGAGTTAGCTGTCCTGCAGTGTCAGGATGGGTGTGCAGGAGCCTCTGCAGGTAGGTCATAGATAAAAGAAACCAGGCAAAGCCTTTGGGTGCAGAGTCTCTGAAATAGGAGCAGCTAAGTGCAGCTTAAGAACAATTTCTTCTGGCGCCTGTGAGTTTGGATTCACTTTTAGAAGATAGATTTAAACATGAAGTGGACAGGCAGTGCAGGAAACCTCAGTCTGGGCAGGATTAAACAAGCTGACATTTTCACTGGGCATTAAACTGCCAAAAGTCACATCTTGTGTGGCATCAGATGTCAGAGCAGCAGCTGATGCCCCAACCCAGACACCCAGCACCTGTACAAAAGCTCCCTTGGGAACAAAAGGGCAGAATTAGCTCCTCTTCAGCATCACCAGGGTTTTGCTGGCCTTCCAGGTCACAACTGGTGCTGTCGATCTCTGAGCTCTAGTGAGGATGGGAGAATTGGCTTACTTCAGGAAGGACTTGTATGGAAATGCTGCCCTCCCTGGGATGGCTGCAGGTCTCCAGAGAGCATTGCTTCAGTTAGGTCTGTGTGCTGTCTGCATTTATTGCATGAAGGAGTTTGGTACCGCAGTGCAGCACTGTGCAGGAGAGGTGAGGGATTTATAATTTACTTTCAGGTTTTGCTCTATAATTTTCTTATTTTTGACCTTCCTATCAAATTGGTGAAGCCAAGAAAACACCCAGCGCACCATTTAGGAGACTCTGAAATCTGCAAATGACACCTAGGACAAAAGGCCTTATTTCTGCCTGTTGTGGTGATTTGCCTAATTTATTTTAAATTAGAAGCAGACAGATTCCCACTCTTTACTTTAGGACAGGAGCAACTTTATAGATGGGCCTTGCTATCAGACAGCAGGCATCAAATTGCATTTTCCCCAGAGCTGCCCCGCAGCAGTAATGACGGTGATAAAAACCTCTGCTTTTTTCAGTAGTCCTGATTAAAACTAGCACTGCCAAGCTCCCCCCAGCCCAGGTGTGAACAGCAGCCTCAGGCTGTGGTGAGCCCCTCACCCTGGTTTCAGGTCTCCCCATGGCAAGTACTGGGGAGCTGCAGTGAGCTCGGAGGCTGAGCCCAGGGCAGGGCTGGGGAAGCTGGAGGGGAGGACCCTGGTGGTCACAAGGGGGTTCTGCTCAGTCCCATCTTTTATATCACACCCTCCACCGTGACTTGTTTTTCCTCCTCTCATAAAAGGCCAGAGCTTTGTGCCAGGGACAGGCCCAGCAGACCCATCCTCTTGAGGGGCTCCTGGTAAGCCTGTGGTGGGGAAGCTGGCAGCAAGCTGGAGGGGTGTGTGTGGTGCCCACAGATCACGCACTGATGAGAAGAGCCACGCAGTGAAGACACAGGTATGAGTGCCAGTTCGGAGCTTTCCCCCATCAGCAATTATTTTCTTTCTCTTTAGGGTCAAATTAGTCACCCAGCACTTTTACACCTCTTTCCGAAGCACTGCAGAGGGAGGCCACCTCTTCTGGGACAATACCTCCACCAACACCAGGGCTGGATAACTCTCATCCTGATTGCAGGAGCTGTGCCATGAGGTGCCACACCACTACTGCCAACCAGCCCTGCCTCCTTGCCAGCGCAGCCAGAGGTCACAGCCCCGAACACTTCATCTGGTCCAAAGTGCATGGCACCCAGCTATCCCAATGCCATCACCTGCTTTAGATGTTTTAGATGCAAATTTTACAGCTAAAGAGTGATAGTGGGTAACAACGAATAAATGCAGTTGCTTCACTCCCATCTGTCAGCAACACAGAATTTTCTGCTGCTCTTTTCTGATTGTGAAAACCAGGTTTCTCAAAAAACCAAAAAAAAAGGGCTTTAATGAAATAGTTCTATGGTACTTGAACCCAGCCGGGCTGAACAGCTGATTCACTAGTCACTGGAAAGCAATTCCAGGTAGGACCAAACCAAATGTGTGTTTGAAATGTGTGGCCAGTCGAAAACCAGTTTCATCACTCTGGGCCAGCCCAACCATTGCAACACAGAGCACATTAACATTTTTTCCCAGTTTGTTGGTGTTGCCAAATCCATCTTTACCATGGAAAAGGTGCTATGGCAGATGATCCCCACTCTCCTAGCCCTTTGCCTGACTAGCTCAGCATCGCTCTCAGCCATGGCACACATGCCTGGAAATTGCAGCTGGGAAGGTCAGCTGGGAATGGCTCTGGCATGCAGCCATGTGGTAGGGAGTGTTTAGATGTGCTAGGTAACCCCATCTGTGCCACATCCTGTGCTTCCCAAGACACAAAGCTGCATGGTCCTCCCTACGTCCGTTTACTGTCACACATTTTATTAAAGATCTTTCAGTTCTACTGGAAATTGCCCCTTGTCATAGTCTTGCCTTGAGTATTGTGCCAAGCTCTGTGGACAGGAGAGTCACAGTCCCAGTATTCTTTAGGGGGACTGTTTTATTCCACCCTTGCCTTGCCTCCTGCTTGTTTTGGGATGACCCTGCAGTTCACATACATGCACATACTCCAGCCAGGGTGTAATTTATTGCTATTCAACCCAAACTGCATCCACTGCAATACACCACCAAGAGTTCATTTAAAGCCCAGATACAAGGAGACCTATAAGCTTGGCTAGATCTGATATTCCTCCCAGTTAAAAGCAGTGGCTTCTCCCACATGCTTGCTAACCGTGGTGTGGTAACACGGCCCTGTACGTTCTAGCAGACTTCACTTCACACTCGCACACACTTTGAGGCAGTGCTGCAATTTATTTCCCAAACTGGCACTCAGCATTTCCATCTCCCTGTGGGAGCAGCATGCTGCGAAACCCCAGGTCACAGTGGCACCAGCTGAACCAGGCTTAATTACAGTGAATCCCACTAGAGCCCATGCCACCTACAAGCTATTCTTCCTCCTCTTGTCATCCCTAAGCCAAGATAAAATTCAAATCCTCCTCTTGCACCCACCCACTGACTAGAGGAAAGCGGAAACACCCAATCCTCACTGCTGGAATGGTGCAGTGGGAAGTGGAAGGCTTCACTTAAGCTCCAGGAGTGGCAAGGCGAGAGTAGCTGAATCCATCTTCCAGCTCTAAGGTTGCTTTCAGCAGGCAGGTGAGAGGGAATGGAACATTTTGGCTTGGGATAAAAACAGGGGCTCAGCATTACCAGCACTGCCTGGAGGTGATGGCAGCTCTCTCCCAAATACCCAACAGGTGATCTCACCCAGACCACAGCCCCACTTCCACTCACCACACGCAGACACAGGCGCTGCTCCAGAGGCTGGGAGGGGGATAAGTTTTCCACTGCTGGCTCAAGTCCATGTTCTCCTTGGTTTTGGCCATGCATGGGTACATCAGATTTTTCCACCCTAGGAAGGAGGGAGCAAGGGCCTGCCCACCTGTGTCATTTGCACCCTGCTGGTGAGCCCACCTTTTGTTTTCGTACTGAAGCCCAAACTAAGGGGTTGCCGAGGACCATTTGTATGCCTGTTTATATCACCAAGTATTGGATTGTGACTTCTCGTGTTTTGATACTGTGGATATTTTTTTTTTTAAAGTTAAATATATTCTATTGCTGGACAGCTGGAATGAAATGCAGAGTCTTTTTATGTAGCCTGGAGAAACCCCATCAAACCCTGACTCACAATGGGTCCTGGTCCTCCTCTTCCCACCAGCAGACATCAGCCCACACCCACATCACTTGAGGAGAGGAGGTAGGGACCAGGGCATGACTTTCTTAAGCAATTTAGGACCCAGAGTCTTCCAGGGGAGCAGAAGGTTAGTGAGGAGCCTCACCTGCACCTCTGGAGTGGAGACAAGGGAGGGAGGAAAAGGTACCCTAAGTTCCCCTCTGCACATGCCTACCAGCAATCCCTCTTGACTATGTTTTCTTTGCTGTTTTAACACTTTAATATGACTCCAGGCATATTATCCCTGCTCTCCATGAAGAACAGCCCCTGTGCTGCTGGTGGCTTGGCCACACACACCTGAGCAGAGCAGACCTCGGCAGGCGGCAGAGCCGTCGCAGGGGAGCTTTCCCAGGAAAGGCAGCTCTGCTGTGAGGGCCAGCAGCTTGTCAAAACACACCTGTACATTTGAACAATCCATACTTCATGCTCCCTGCTCCTCCTGTGATGTGCAATGCCCCGAAGTGCTGCTGCTCTTTGCTCCCTCCCCAAAGCCACTGTGGGTGGGGAAACAGATGGGAGATCCCAGCTGGACTCATCAGGCCTTGGTTGTTGCTGAGACAAGCAACTGTCTAAAGTCTCTAAGCAGTTGTTCATTCATATGAATGTCTACAGCCTAGTAGTTTTGACCTCAAACATTGGCACACAGGTGGTTTCCAGGCTGCAAAGTTTCTCCTGGTCCTGCTTGGATGCCTTACCTTGTAGGAGACTCCTGCAAACACAGGGTTACACAAGCAGCTTGTCCCAGCTGACCCCCCTGCAAGAGACCTCCCAGCCCTTAGGAGGGCCATCTCTAGCCCAGACAGCATTCATGGAGGATGGGTTTCGTCCGCCTTGGATAATACTGCCCGGATGGGATAGGGCAGCCTCTTGTTCCATCAAAACCTCAAATTCTCAGAGGACTGCTACACTGCCAGAGGTGATGTCAGGCTGCAGGGAGTAAGCCCTGAGCACATTTCTCTGTGCCATATGGGGCTACACAGTCCCTCATACACCCTACAGCCCATGACTGACCCTCAGCTCTCGCTGCCCAGGGTGGTTTCCTCCCCACTGCAGCGCCTTGGCTCTCCCCATTCCCTGCTCTTAACAGGGAAGGCAACACTGTGGCACAGGGCTTGGTGGCATCTGCTGCCCACCCAGAGCAGGTGCAGGGCTGGCCTCCCTTCCCAGGTTCCCAGCCTTTCTGAGAGGCAGGGCAGGGATGAAGAGGGATCCTGGCAGTGCAGAGGGAAGGGGGCCGGTGGAGAAGGTGAAAGGCGTCTGGGAGAAAATACAACTGTGCCTGTGATAGTCACCCTCCACAACCCCAAACACAAGGGCAGATGTTGGGAGATGCTGCTTGAGAGATTAAAATGTGGGTATCCCTGTCTCCAAATTGCCAGTGCAGCACAGTGCTCCCCATTTGCACAGGCTCGGGGAGGAGGAGTGGCAGGAGGCCAAAGCCAAGTGTGGCCCTGGAGAAGGGGCCCTGGAGGGGACACCCACCCAGTGAGGGTGGGGGAAGGTGACAGCACAGATCCCACTTCACCCGCCCTGGCAAGCAGTGCCCAGCAGAGACCTTCAGTGACCTCTTGACCCGGCATCATCAAGGGACACCCCATGGCACCCCACTGCTGGGCTGAGGGGACAGCCAGTCCCACAGCACCTGTCCTTAACGAGAAGAAGAGGGAAGGGGGAAGGATGCAGACTGCTGTTTGCAGCAAGAGCATTGGAAGCGTGGAGCCCACCAAGAACCAGGAATAGAGCAGTGCAGAGCATGAGACAGGTCGAACCGGGTGGCAGGTCCAGCCTGGAGGGCTGCCACAGGACTCAGTGGGCCATCATAGGACTCAGTGGGCCAAACTCAGATTTGGTGCAAGACCATCAAGAAGATTCTTCTTGCACCCCATGGCTTTGAGAGGTCTGGCAGGTGAGAAAGAAACTTTCTTTCCCTTTCCACATCTTTCTATTTAAGCTTCACTCCTCAGCATGTGAAGCACTTCGGGATGAAAACTGATATATAGTATTATGATACTATTAATACACCCATGCAGACATGCTATCATGTGGCAAATCCACTAGAGAGATCTATAATAATTATCTCAAAGAGATTTCTTTGACACTCTGCTAATGGAACCATTTCAGAAGGGGAGGGGGAAAGATAAAAAGCACACAAATGGAATGTCAAAAATTGGAGCTTAGTGAAGATAAGCCATGGGGAAAACCTCCATGCCTTATCCTCATCCAAGCACCACCATGGGAACAGGTCTCTCCCTCGCCCCAAGGAAAAGGCATCTCCAGCAGTTTCTCAGCCCTGCAAGCTGTTGACACCAGTGTTCCAGGGAGTGCTCTGGCATCAGGAGGCAGAAACCCAGGAGGTTTTCAGGGGTTTAGAAGAAGCAGAGAGGCAAGAGGTAATGAGCACAGCCTGCAGCTTCTGCTGGCTCCTCAAACAGGCAGCAGGACCAGCTTTGCTGCAGCAGACACCCAAATCCCTGTTCTGAAACCAGACAGTACCATCACCCAGAAACCCACGGAATGGGGTGACTGGCAGGTTCCTGGGGCGCTTACCCCACAGTATGCTGGCCCTTACCAGAGACAGTAACCAGCAAACGCTGAGCTCCTGAAGAACTGGAAATGCCCAACACAGCCCTGCTCTGTGCTTCTCTGTGCTTCTCCTGTGGGTAGGCAGAAGCCAGATGAGAGCTGCTCCTGTCCCCCCAGCCAGAGGGGGTACAGCCAAAGCCCATGGCTGCCCTGCCCCAAGTCCCACACTGCATTCCTGGGCACGCACCTCCTCCACCCAGCCCGTGGCCCCAGGGGAGGCACACAGCCACCACACACATCTCACCCTGACTTCAGGGGCACTGGCTCAGTCCCCAGCCCAAGAGCAGAGCCGGCCCAGGTGCCCTCAAAGCACAGCACAGCCCTTAGGGGTCACTCCTCTGTGCACTCACTTGGTGTAGCACAGCAATGGTGGGCCCAAGGAAACTCCCTTTCCAGGAACCACCGCACAAACTGGAGCAATTACTCTCCCTTTGCACTTACAGCCTCCCCAGACCAAACTCACCTTCTCAAGGCTACCACACTGCTGGGATACATTCAACCCTGCAGCAGCTCTTGCTGAGAGCCACAGAGGGCTACAGCCACAGCACCAACAACACTCCCTTGCTGATGGGGAGCAGCTGAGGCTTTCTGCATGATCCAGGGCTATCAGCAGTAACCAGGTGTGCTTCACATCAGGCCATCTAGGAGAGTTCGGGCTGTCAGCTGCTGTTACACCAGTGAGACAAAAGTATCTTGTGCAGGAGGGCTGCTGTCAGTCCTGGCTTGCAGCTCACCCCGATGGGGAGCCACAGTCTGTCCATCAGCAGCTCTCACGGGTGGGCATGCAGAGACATGGAAATACACCACCTGGATACTGGATCCTTTAGAGATACACAATTAGAAAAGCATAATTTCAATTGTATTCTGTTCAAACTGTCTGATCAACCATTTAAAAAAACCCATAATGTCCATGCAAAGGAGGGTTATTAAAAGGTGTACATGTACTACCTTGAAATCTCAAAAGTCATGCAGTCCAAATACACGTTCGGATCCAAATGCAGCTATGAGAAGGTAGCACCTGATCCTAGAAGCTAATATTTCAATTACAGGCTATTTCAGAGCTTCTTTCCACAGGAAAATTGCAGCTGCTGGAAAAGGATGTGAGCTGCAAGACTGGCAGGAGTATATGCTTGTGTCTAGGGCACATTAAGTGTGTCCCCAGAGGAGGTGAAGATGTGTCAGCCAGAGTATCCATGCACTAAAAAATGGCATCAAACACCATGTCTCCCAGTAACTTTGGACTGAGGCTTTGGCTGACACACTTGCTCAGTCCTGCCTGCCAAGGTGGGCAAAGTGAGGGGGGCAAAACCACCTCCAGGCTGAACCCTCCAGGGAAATCTGAAATACTACCCCCTGCAGCAGGAGCCCAAAGGCAGCCCCTGTGGCAGCAGGGATTCCTCCACCAGCCCTTGGCACAGGAGCTCTGGCAATCGCTGGCTGACATGGAGCAACTGCCATTGAAGGGGAGGTTTGCTGCCTGCTGCCCACCTGCAGCCACTTCTGAGTTACCCCTCATGTGTGTGCAAACATAAAGTCTGGCTCCTTTTCACCACCAGACATTATTCCAAATATTAATACTTTAAGCTATGTTTATATCCCTGGAGGGATGCAGCCAACCCGGTTTTGCTGGCTGCCCCTCTGAGGTGCCTGCACTGCTCTGAGCCCACAAAAGACACTTAATGTCAGAGCTGCAGCCCCCACCAGGACTTGAACAGCCAGAAATTTGAACCCAGTGGGGGGCTCAGCTCAGCAGTGCCTTGCTCATAGTTGTGCCAGATGTGATGCTGCTCCTGCTTACAGTTGCGGACTGAGGCTGTGTGCAGCTGTTCCACCTGGAGCCATCCTGGGGCACAGGTGGGAAGCTTGGAGGGTGCTGATGCACCTCCAACCCCACTGAGCCAGTCTAGTTCAGGAGAAAGTGGAATTAAGGGCTAAGGCTGACTCCAAGGCCTCTTCAGTTTCTTCTCCAAATAGAGAAGGTCTGCTCTAGGAAACCAATTCCCTGGAGGTCTAATTTTAGAAAATGGCTGTGTCTGCTGGCTCTGGCACGAATGTGCCCCCTTGCCTTGCCCAGCCTGACCCCTCACCTCTGCTCTCCCCACTCTCAAACCTGCCAGGGCAGGTTATCCACCCCAGATAGGGGTAGTGAGGGCAAACGGGCATTGCACTGCCAGCAGTGTGAAGAAAGGCTGTGGGCTTTTAAGGGATGAGTCTTGGTTCCAGGCCAGCCAGATGGATGCCAAATTCCAGGCTTAAATTCTGTTTATTCAGAGGCCTGCCTGCTGTTGAGCAGCCAGACTGGGCAGCACAGGGATTAGGAG